GGAGGTGACGGGCAGAAATCAGGAGCAGCGCTTCCAGAGTAATGGGATTCACCCGCGGCCGCAGCGGCCTTCAGCTGGGCCGGGGCCGAACGGGCCGCAGCCGGGACCCCAGAGAGACAGGGGTAGGGAGCGAGGTGACACGGACGAGACACAGAGCGGGGGGGGGAGGAGACAGAAGAGGTGGAAGCCGGTGAGTCTGGCAGGCGAGTCGGTAGAAAGGAGAAACGGGCAAGAAAGACTCGGGCGAGGAGAAGTGGAAACAGACACGCAAGGTGGAAAGAAAGAAAAAGCTGTTGAATAGAGTGGAAGTGGAAACGACTCGTTTTTTAAGAGAGGAAGGATGGAAGAAGTGGAAACCGGTACAGGAAGGAAGAAAATATACTGAATAGAGTGACAGAAGTGGAAACGGGTCTATAAGAAAGAAAGAAAGAAAGAAAGAAAGAAAGAAAGAACTGGAAACTACTGGTTGTTTTTAAGAGAGGAAGAATGGAAGAAGTAGAAACGGATAGGAAGGAAGGAATAAAGGGAGGGAGGGAAGAAGGAAGGGAAGAAGGAAGGAAAGAAGGAGGGAAGAAGGAAGGAAAGGAGGGAAGAAGGAAGGAAGGAAGGAAAGAATGAGGGAAGAAGGAAGGAAAGGAGGGAAGAAGGAAGGGAGGAAGGAAGGAAGGAAAGGAGGAAGGAAAGGAGGGAGGGAGAGAGGGAGGAAAGAAGGAAGGGGGGAAGGAAGATATCGGAGAGCTGGATAGAGTGACAGAAGTGGAGACACACCTGGCGGGCCGGTCTGGGGGCGGATAGGAAGAAAGGCAGGGGACAGAGCGGAAGGGGTGGACCAGAGACCTATGGTACAAAGCCAGCCCTGGGCCTACATGCATGAGACAGGTGCGGGAAGAGAGAGCCCTTCTCCCACAACGCTCCCTTGTCCGAGCGATCTCGGCCCCTCGGTATCTAGGGCCGGGGCCCTCCCGCAGGTCTGTACTGCGCCGAGCGCAAGGGGGCCCAGGATCGGGGCCTCTGGGCGCTGGCCCGGGGAGGATCACACACAAGCCGCTCGCCTCCTCCTCTCTGCCCCCTCTTCGGTTTCGCCTCCGGCCCCTGACATGCCCAGGACGAGGCAGGACTGGCCGCTCCGAAGGGATCTCCAAGCGCAAAGGCGCCCTGCGCGATTTCCCTTCGCAGCCCACCCCCACCCTCCCTCCCAGCAGCAAAAATATTGTCTGGGGTGGGGGGGGGGGGGTTGTTTTTGTATATGGGCCCGGGAGGGGGGCCGGTTCCTGCCCGGCCCCCTCCCGAGGGCAGGAAAAGGGGGTCCCCAGAGGGAACCGGCCCTGGCACCCCTGGATTGGATTTTTTCTATCTGCCAGGCTAATCAGCGCCGCTGCTACGGAACAATTCCAGCAATCTAGCGAGCGGCGATGTATTGCTTCAGCATCGCCTGGAGCCGGGGGGGAACTGGCTGGCGAGGAGATAACCTAATCTCCCCCTCCCGCCGGAACAAAGCGCCCTTTGACGCGGCCCTGCGCTCCTTTTACTCGCGGGAGTGTATGGAGTGAAAAGCCGACGGTGGATTTGCATTTCTAACGCCGTAATGAGCAGCGGGGCCAGGTCTGGAGGGGGGTAAAGCCCCCTGAGCACAGCCGCGGCTTTGCAGTCCTAGCCCGGGTCAACCCCCTTGCACGGGCGCTGGGTGCTTTGCAAAAAGACAGGCGGCTCCTTTTTGGAGAAACCTTTCCCCTGGGTCGGGGGGGGATCGCAACAGGCTGCCCCCCCCCTCCTGGCAACTAGAGTGTCAGAAGGCTCCGCAGAGTTTGGGGGGGTAGGGAAGGGCGCACCATTTCCAAGCGATTACGCGTGAAGAACTCCCGCACCCACGTGGAGGCCTAGACAAGGCTCCTTCCCCCTCGGATTCGAATCGGCCGCGGTATGTAAACACCCCTCCTGTGCACTCGCGCCTCTCTCCTCCAGAGGTGGCTGCTTTTTCAGAAGCGTGGCATGCGACACGGAAAGAAACAACATGCCCGGGAGGTCCCGCTTTCGATCCTTACGCGCCGCAGCGAAGGGGCGCGAGTGTGTGCGTGTTTACACGCGGAGAGCGCTTCGGAACGGATCCGTTTCTGGGGCCGGAGGAGCCGCGCGATGAAGCTACCCAGGTCTCTTCGGAACCGGCACACAAGCCGTGTACACACGCAGTACAAATGATACACAATCCAATTCGTGCTCTACTCCATCCCATCGGCTGAAGAAGTGGATTTTGCCCACCAACGCTCGTGATACTCTCCACTTGTGTTAGTCTCTAAAAAGGTGCCACAGGCCCACGCGTTGTTATTGTAATTATATGTAAAGAAAGGTGTATATTTGTACAACAGAATATCGTCTCTCTCCGATGCGTGTAAACGCTGCGTGCGGACATTATCGAATATATTCTATCGCTCACGGACCATGGAGGCGCAGATCTATCTAATTATATATATCTATGCAAATATAATTAGATGTAATTTTCCACCTGCAGGGCCTGGTCGCTAGGACTGCTCCTGGCTTCTATAATCACTGGCAACACTTCCCCCGACTCACTGAATTCAGAATGTCCCCCATACTGCTGGGAAATGCGAAGGCAGCTCGCACATTTCTTGCTCCGGGTTCTGATCCCTTTTCCAAAATGGCAAGATTCAAGGGGGAAGCAGCGTCGGAGTCGGTCAGATCTTCCCTAATTTCCCCCCTTCTCTTTCTCCCGGGGAACTAGCTTCTCCCTTCCCTTGGAGTGTCCAGCAAAAGGGCAGAAAACTGGGAGCAAAAGCTCCAAGAAGCTGGCGAAGCGAGTTTTGTAGCTGCAGACGTTTCCCGTGGATTTATTTCTACCCTGCTTCCGCGACCGTGACACCGCGTAGAAATTTAGTTTATTGGAAACCAAAACGAGCGCGCGCAAAAAAAAATACAAATCGAAATCCGGAAGGCTTGAAAACCGCATCCAATAATTCTTTAAAAGGGAAACATTGGGCTTACTCCGGATCATTGTTTCTAGCGACAGCGCTCGTTTATTGATTGCTATTTGCTCCTGCGCTATCCTTACCGCTTTAGGCGAGTCGGATGTTCTACATATCGCTAGAAAGGAGATCCCCAACGTTTACACTTTCTCCCTCCAAGCAGCGACTCACTGGTTTCGAGTCGTTTTAGCTAGACTCACAGAAATCGGCATAATAGGCAGATACACGTCTACACACATTCGGGTATGGAAGTGTATTTGCGGGTATACACAGTTTGTGTAGATCGCACTGAAAAAATATATCCCTATATAATGACCAGTGTTAGAAAGTCCTATGAAACAAAATACAGGACTATGTAGCACTTTAAAGACTAACAAGATGGTTTATTAGGTGATGAGCTTTCGTGGGCCAGAGCCAGAGAGAAGGAATCTATATAGCTAAACGCATGTCTATTTGAGCATGCAAAATAAATGAAAGAAAGAAAGAAAGAAAGAAAGAAAGAAAGAAAGAAAGAAAGAAAGAAAGAAAGAAAGAAAGAAAGAAAGAAAGAAAGAAAGAAAGAAAGAAAGAAAGAAAGAAAGAAAGAAAGAAAGAAAGAAAGAAAGAAAGAAAGAAAGAAAGAAAGAAAGAAAGAAAGAAAGAAAGAAAGAAAGAAAGAAAGAAAGAAAGAAAGAAAGAAAGAAAGAAAGAAAGAAAGAAAGAAAGAAAGAAAGAAAGAAAGAAAGAAAGAAAGAAAGAAAGAAAGAAAGAAAGAAAGAAAGAAAGAAAGAAAGAAAGAAAGAAAGAAAGAAAGAAAGAAAGAAAGAAAGAAAGAAAGAAAGAAAGAAAGAAAGAAAGAAAGAAAGAAAGAAAGAAAGAAAGAAAGAAAGAAAGAAAGAAAGAAAGAAAGAAAGAAAGAAAGAAAGAAAGAAAGAAAGAAAGAAAGAAAGAAAGAAAGAAAGAAAGAAAGAAAGAAAGAAAGAAAGAAAGAAAGAAAGAAAGAAAGAAAGAAAGAAAGAAAGAAAGAAAGAAAGAAAGAAAGAAAGAAAGAAAGAAAGAAAGAAAGAAAGAAAGAAAGAAAGAAAGAAAGAAAGAAAGAAAGAAAGAAAGAAAGAAAGAAAGAAAGAAAGAAAGAAAGAAAGAAAGAAAGAAAGAAAGAAAGAAAGAAAGAAAGAAAGAAAGAAAGAAAGAAAGAAAGAAAGAAAGAAAGAAAGAAAGAAAGAAAGAAAGAAAGAAAGAAAGAAAGAAAGAAAGAAAGAAAGAAAGAAAGAAAGAAAGAAAGAAAGAAAGAAAGAAAGAAAGAAAGAAAGAAAGAAAGAAAGAAAGAAAGAAAGAAAGAAAGAAAGAAAGAAAGAAAGAAAGAAAGAAAGAAAGAAAGAAAGAAAGAAAGAAAGAAAGAAAGAAAGAAAGAAAGAACAGGGCGAAATAATATATTATCATCGATCAGCAGGGCGAAATAATATATTATCATCGATCAATTTCTGTTGATGAATGAGACAGGCTTTTAAGCTACACAGAACTCTTCTTCAGAATAAATTCAACAATGCACAAACAGTGTATGCGTTATGTATGAAAATATATATATTGAAACCTTGTCCCTGCCACCAACAGAAGTTGGTTCTTTAAAAGATATTACCTCACCCGCTCTGGCTCTATCCTGAGTCGTAAGAGGGCTGAGACAGGATAGATAGATAGATAGATGAGAGAGAGAGAGAGAGAGAGAGAGAGAGAGTGTAGGGATAGATAGATAGAGAATGTAGGGAGAGAGAGAGAGTGTAGGGAGATAGATAGATAGATAGATAGATAGATAGATAGATAGATAGATAGATAGATAGATAGATAGATAGATAGATAGATAGATAGATAGTATAGGGATGGATAGATAGACAGACAGGGCTGCACGCAAGAAACCGGCCCCAGGAATTGTTCAGTTCCCCAACCCTCTCCCCAGGACAGATCCCTTGCACTGTCGGGGACTCCTGTGTGGAGAGAAGGACGCTCCGTGCACACAGCCCCACGCCCACGCGTGCCCGGACCCAGTATCCCCGGCGCACCGCCGTGCCCGGGGCAGTGCCGGGGCCGGCTGGCTGGAGGAAAGGGGCCGAGGCGCAGCGACGAGGCAGGGACCCCAACTCCCCGCCCGGTGTCCGAGGGCTGCGAAGTGCGGGCGAGCGGCGCGTTACCTTGGAAGCGGTGCCCGAAGAACCGGTTCCGCAGCACCCAGGGGTAGAAGTTGAGCGGGTCTCTGTGCTGGGGGCCGAAGAAGGCGTGCGGGTGCTGCAGCTGGGACGCGCCCAGGGCGTGCGGGTGGACGCCCAGGGAGGGGTGGCTCACGGCCTCCGGGAAGACCAGCTCCGGGCTGCTGTAGAGGGAGCGGCCGGCCGCCGCGCTGTGGAAGCCATTGACGAAGGCCTCGGCGGCGGAGGGGTTGGGGTAGTTGAGGGCGGTGGGCCGGAGGGGCTCCTCGGACGCCAAGTGATTGTCCTTCGCCACCAGCGACTCGATGGTGAAGCAGCGCTTGGCTGCGGGCTGGAACATGGCTCGCTCCGGAGTGACGCTCTTTGGAGGGGGCCGCGCGCCTGGGTCCTGCGTGTGTGTGTGCACACGGTGCCCCCGGCGCGCGCTCACACACACAGTCCGGCCCCCCCCTCCCGCCCCCCACCCCAGAAGAAACGCGAGCAGGGGGGCGCGTCTTCCCCCCGCGAGGGGAGCGCAGCCAGCGAGCCCGGCAAACTTGTCCCCGGCGCGCGCCGCCTTGGAGGAGGGCTCTCCAGCCGGCCCCGCGCTCGCACACCATACACACCCCCGGGCTGGCTCGCGGAGCCGTACAAATAAGACGGGTACCTGGCCAGGGCCAGCTGATTGGACAGCTCACCTGCCCTAAGGTTGGGGAGGGCATAGGGGGGAGCGAGATCTCCTGAAAAAACCGGACTGGAGCCTCTGCAGAAGCAGCCACGCAAACTTGGCAGCGCTGCAGCCACCGGGGGCTGCCTCCCGGCTCCTCCATTGGCTAAACTCCCCCCCCCCCCCCCCCGCGCG